CACACATTAACTTTAACATAACACAATGAAGGGGGAGCCCACCTAATCAGCCGGGGGGGTCTTAAAGTATAAACATCAATAGGACCAGCCCTTAGGACCTTAGTGTAATAAGCTATCACATAAGAGAAAGTCATAGAAGCAGTGGGGGGAGAAGAGTTGTATTTAAAGCTGTTTCTCAAGGACCAAATAAACCAAAGGACCAATAAAGGAATGGCAAACCCCCACCCTTATCATCAAAATCCTTCCATTGCCACAAATAGTTGCTTAAAATGCCCCTATGCAACCATGAAATACCAAAATGTATGCCCAGTATATTCCACACATTTAATGAAAAAGCACATTCAAAAAATGTGTCTTGTATCTTCATCTGCAACCTTACACATAGGACATCTCGAGGTCATTTTAAGGCCTTTCAACTTAGGAATGTCATCAATAGGTAGTAAATAAGAGAAAATTCGCCAAAAGAAAAAGGATATAGAGGGAGGTAAGAATTTGTGTCAAATCCATTTTCCCCAAAACCAATCCCGGTGTGAATGTAAAGTGTCATATATAAGTTTGCAAACCGATTGAGAATTGTTCCTTTTCCACACGGGGAGGTCCTTGCGTGAAGGGGTGATACAAATAGTAATTATATGCTTTGCATTTTGCTCCGCCACAATAGAACATAATTTGGAAAAATCTCAGTCATCTTGAGAAAAGAAATCAGAAACCAATAAAGAGTTAATTTGTAGAGGGTGAAAGTATTTAGGGAGATGAGACAACCCCCAATTATCATTCCCAAAAGAGATATTACGGTCTCCTATATTCCAAAACATGAAATCCTTAGTAGTGGTTCTAGATTTACAACTGTTTTCCAAATATGGGAATCTCCAACCTTCCACATAACCTGGGAAGGATGAGTTTGGGCACAATATTTATGATGCATAAAGGAAGCTCATAGAGATGAGCCCAATCTAAATTTGAACCAAAGTTTGCAAAGGTTTATTTCCACCATATGTTTCAAAGCTTTAAAGCCTAACCCGCCAGCTTTCTTAGGCTTACAAACCTTATGCCAAGAGCCCTAAATTTTTTTAGCACCATTCCCCACCCAAAGGAATTTGTTAAAAAGCCTCTCCATAATATTGATAGTACTTTTTTTTGTGTTAAACACTGCAAAGCATATAGTGGAATACTCTGAAGAACACTATAAAGCAAAGAAATCCTGCATCAGTAGAAAGAAAAACATTTCTCCAATCGTTGATTTTACTCTTGATTTTATCAATTACATCATCCATATGTATTTGTTTCCTCCTGATGAAAGCCAGTAATGACAACTCCCCAATGAATAAGTTGGGGTTTAACGTGCTTGCCAAAAAACATTTGGCACTTGTCACAATTAAAGAGGAGTCCAGAACAATTTTGGAAATCCTTTAAGAGCCCCATGAATTATTTTAGAGCAAGCTTAAAGGCATTGACAAAAATAATCACATCATCAACATAAGCAAAATGTGAAACCATCATTAACATCTTGGCCTTATGATAAAACTGTGTGAGGGTGTAACAGCTGGAAATGGTTGAGCATCCTAGATAAATAATCGAAAGCTAAAATGAAATTAATAGGGGAGAGAGGGCCCCCCAAATTGATGCCACGAGAAGCAGTGAAAAATCCATAAGAATTGTCATTTACCAGCACGGAATAATAGTTGTTAGCCAACCATCTTTTTATCAAGGTGCAAAAGCTATTAGTGAAACCTCTAGCCTTCAAAACGTTGATGATGAAATCCCAATTAATGGTGTCAAAGGCCTTCTTGATATCTAATTTGATAACAAGATTGGCACTCCTGCATTTTTTATCAAGATCCTGCAAAATTTCCTGAGCTAAGAGAATATTGTCAGAAATATCACGTCCTTTAATAAAGGCCGACTGGTGAGGGGAAATGAGAGAAGGAAGGTGTGGTTGAAGACGGGCCACAATCAGTTTACTGATAATTTTAGATATCACAGAAGTGAGCGAGATGGGTCGAAAGTCATTCCAATGAGTTTTCTCTTTAGATTTAGGGATAAGAACAATCAGAACGCAAAAAAATACTTTCCAAGGTCTTCACCCTGAAAAAAACTTTGAATTGCGAGCAACGCCTCTTTCTTTTTGATGCTCCAGCAGGAAATATAAGAAACAGAAGTGAAACCATCGGGGTCAGGAGCCTTTTGAGAGCTAATATCTTTAAGGGCATTGAAAATCTCCAACTCGATAGGGGGGTCGGACAAAGAGAGGGAGGAAACTGTGTCCCTCTGATCCTCAAACAATTCCGATAATATATCAGTGACCGGAAAGTCTCAGCATAAAGAGAAGAAAAATAATCAGCTCCATTGGAACCAATTTGATTCGCATAAGTGAGAACAGAACCCTCATCAGTAACAATCTTAATAATGGTATTTATATTACGACGATATTTGATAGTAGCATGAAAATATTTAGTGTTTCTGTCGCCGTTTTTGATATGAGTGTCACAAGCTTTCTGTCTGAGGAAATCCTCCTCAACAGTGATTTCTTCCAAAAGAGTATGATGAGCATTAGCTAACATGGCCACCAGATCAGGAGTGTCTATCACCTGTGCCTCTAAGGTATCGACCTCCAGTTGGGCCTTCGAGACCCTAGAATGAACATTACCAAAAGTATCTATGTTCCACCTTTTTAAGTAAGAAGCAACATTCTTATGTAATTGCCACAAAATAATCCAAGGGTTACCACTCCATCTCGAGACCCAAGTATGCTTAATCAAGTCAATAAAAGTAGGATGAGAAGTCCAAACATTGAGAAATTTAAAGTGATAACGAGCATATTTAGAATGAAAAGCCAAAGTAAGGAAAATAAGATTGTGGTCCGATGCAGCATGATTAAGATGTTTGACATGAATAATGTTGTAGTAACCCAAAAAAGAAGAGTTTCCCAGAAATCTATCCAGTTTCTGCATAAGAAAACCACTCCGCCAAGTATAAGAAGAACCCGAAAAGCCAAAATCATAAAGGTCAGCATTCGCAATATGTTCACAGAAATCACCCAAAGGAATTTGTTAAAAAGCCTCTCCATAATTTTTTTAGCACCACCCCTTTTAAGGGTATATATATATACCTTTAAAATAAATAAATATAGATGATCAATTACTGGAGAGACAAAAAGAAAAACTAATCTCTCTCCACCAAAAAAGAACCCATCTTGATCCGCCCACTAACAGTTTGATAACACAACTCCAAATTTGATAAATCAAATGAAAAGAAGAATTGAAAGCTATACTCTTCCAAATAACCTTAATAAAACATTTCAAATGCATAAAGAAGTTATTGTTTCCTGAAATAATCTTTATCCAACCTCATGGTGAGAACATATGATAAAAAAATGAAATTACCAAGAACATGCAAAAAAAATCATCCCAAGTAACCCGCTTCAAAAAAGATGTCATGTAGATATTTTCAAGTACAAATGATCACCGGCTTGAATCACCTATGAAGCATACAAATTTATCTTAAAGAACACATTTTTAGAAGCTAGCAAAATAATGCTTAGCTAATTCTGCCAACAGCTTTAGCAAATGCTAAGAAATTGTAGTACTTTAAAGTAGATGACATATTTGTCTCAACTCAAGAGCTTCTAAAACAGGGAGTATCAGTGTTCATATTGACAAGGTAAAAACGGTGAAAAGAGAACAGCCACCAAGCAACTCTATATAACAAAAGACAAGGTTCAGAGGGAATGGTAATATCGATAATAAAGATATTATTAAACATGGATTTCTCTGTAATGAGAAGATACAATATGGCTTAAAAGTAAACTTTATAAAATTTCAATTAGATAAACAATGCTGTATAGATCAAAATGCTGAGCTGCGAAAAATATATTAGGATCTAAGTTGAATGTGGTAAATATGAGAATGTTAACATAGATGTGTGGCAAGACTGCGAAGAGTAACTTGAGAAATATTTATACTAGAGCAATGAGTGAAGTAACAACTATTAAAGATTAGATTATTAAAAATAGATAATTGGTTTGGACATGTACAATGAAAGATAATAAATGTGCTAATAAGATGAATTATCGCTATCTGAAAGTTAGGAAATGAAAAAGCGGCCAACCTAAAGTTAGATGAATAGAGGTTATTCAAATGATTCAAAAAGAATAGGAAAAATGAATGAAAAATGACAATTCATAATGCCTACCACAAATATATGTGATAAAGACAAATGATGATGAACTCTACAATTGATGGAATGCATTTCTTCAAAGGAATTTATTAAGCCCCGCCACTTCTACAAGTCATGACCAAACAAGAGAACTTGCTCATGTTTAAAAAACATAAGAGAAAGGAAGAAAGGAAGAAAGATAAGTGGATGTTTATTTGACATATGAAAAGCTATTCTTATGAAACATACATCTTTTGCAAACAAAAGCAACCAATTAATCATTACCTTCTACAAAAAATGCATCAAAAACTGCCAATGAATCACTTCAAATAACAAGAGATAATGTTTGCATGTGAAAGCATTTGCAAAACAGCGGTTGGAGAAGGTTGTCTCTCTAAAGTCATGATTTCGAGCCACAAACTCCATGACTCATCGCTCATCATTCCAAAAGAAAAAATTTAGATGAAAGTGGGAGAGGAAAGCTCTCCATTTTTACACAGCATTACTTGGGCATTAAATAATTATTAGGTCTTTTCGATATTCAAAAGAAAACAAGTGAAATCAAATAATTAATCATCATTCTGAGGAAATATTTTGTCCATATAATGAAAAATATATCAAACAAAATGTAATGAACCACGTAAAGGTTTAAGGCTTAGATATTACTAAATAAATGTACACAGTGTAATGAACCACGAATAAGTTTAAGCTTAAATATTACTGAATAAATGTACACATGTACTCCTAAGAACGAATAAAAGCATTAAAAATCATAACTTTGAAAACAAAACCATAAACAGTCACCATGAATCAATGTACCGTTACACAATAAAATATTGTTTTACCCTTTTGCATTCCAGAAAGAGGTTAAGAGCTTCCGAGCACTGGCTGTCCAAGGACTCTTTAATTGAATCCAGAAGTTCTGCCAGACTGCAATACCATAAAATGAATATTTAGAAACTGAAAAAGCATACATAGAGATCTTTTGCTCATCAAACTAAGCTAATAGAAATATGCTAAATTAACTAGCCTTTGGTTTTACGTAACTTTAAGAAATGTTCGTAGTAGAAGATAGAAAAATACGTTTGTTTTGCTTTTTTAAGAAAATATATAGTCTGGCTACCCTAGCTCATAAAAATTTTGGAAGTTTTGCAAAAATCGTAAGATTACTGCCTACATCAAATTTGTGCTTAAGAACTAGCATTTACAAAGAAAATAGGAAGAATACCCAAGCATTGAATTAAATCAAAGCATTTAAAGAACAAGCACCAACACAACAACCACAACAAATATGCATTATCAAGTGGAGGGCATGCATCATCAAAAATGAATAATCATATTCAGAAGCAGAAACTTAATATCACTTAAAATTCACAATGCCAGACCTCCCTGCATTAAAGAAATCTTTAAGCTCCGTGTGGAATATCTTGAACTGTTCTATAAATGCCTGACTATATTGCCCTGGTATCTTTGTAATCCTAGAAAGCATAGCTTCTGTAGCAACCAAATCTTCTGGTCCAGCATTACGGTGAAGCTTATTCTGTATAGTATGCTTTATCTCTTGCTGAAAAACAGAAAAATAAAGGTTCAAGGATACTACATGCAACACATTAATCACTGCACAGAAGGCCAACCTTCAGGTCATGAGGAATATCATTGCGGTGTGCAATATCTCGTATTCGCGTAAGAGGAACAGAGGCTGTAAACTCTGACTTAAACGAAGGAAGGCAAGGGTGGATTTTCCTAGCCACGAGTATAACCTGTAAAAATGTGAAAAAAAGAAAAGGCTAAATCTGAAGGGAAGACCAATAAGAATGCCCGCATAATATATTTGGCCAAATCAATAAATAGGCTGTAATTCCTGCCAAGAACCAGAAGAAATATTTAATAACAAGACTAACGTGACTATCCATATTTTTATGCAATGCCTCCAGATTAGAATAAAACATGACAAAGTAGGCAAGCATTTAGCTTCAAATAAGAGTTCTTCCATCCAGCACCAGAACAAATGAGCTTTATATACTATTGTTAAAATAATAGTGCAAAATAATATTATTAATATGAAACTATGAAACTGGGGTATAAATAACCCTTACATGAATCCTAGAATAGGAAAAACAATAAAAAACAATAACAAAAAAGAAAAAATATAACACCTATATTTTCAATTAATCAATTCACAATAATCAACATAAAGCATAAAATAGAAAAAAAACAACTCCAATCCAAGGAAATAAATTTATTCCTCATAACTTCGAACGGAAAAATAATATTTCTTGATATAACTTCTAACACTCTCTCTCAAGTTGAAATATAAACTTGGATTTGAAAATATCAAACAATGGGCGAGGAAGATTCTTTGTGAGGTGGAACTAGAAGTCTTCATCCCTTGGTAATCAACGAAAAAAGTATTTAGTTGACTGTGGTTGTCTTTGACTGCAGTTTCGGCAGTGTCTGTAGGTAGGCTGAAGGCTTCAACAGGTAATGCTACAAGGAAGTTTGCAGCAAACTAGACAACCAACAGGAAAAGCTGCAGAGTATGGCCTATAGTACAAAAAAGGAAAAACTCTGGAGGTAGGCCCTGCTACAAGAAAATGCTCCAGAGAAAGGCCTGCTACATGAAGAATTCTGGTGGAGCATCTGCTGCCAAAAAAACTCAGGAGAAGGGCCTGATACAGAAAAAAACTTCAGAAGAGGGCCTGATGCAGGAAAAGGCTGCAGAAGAGAGCCTGTTGTAGGAAGAATTCCGAGAAGAGTTTGTTGCATAAAAAACTTCGGAGGAGGTCTGATACAGGAAAAAAAAAGCTCTGAAGGGTCTGATATAGGAAAAAGCTTTGGAGGGATGGCTGCAGAAAATGCTCCGGAGAAGAGTCTGCTGCAAGAAAGATCCTAGAGGGTCTGCTGCAAGAAAAACCTCAGAGGATAGCATAATGCAAGAAAAGGCTCTGGAGGGTCTGCTGCAGGAAAAGCTCTAGAGAAAGGTCTACTGCGGGAAAAGCTCTAGAGGAAAGCCTGCAACAACAACAAACCTTTATACCACTAAGTGGGATCGGCTACATGAATCATTTTACTCTATTGTCCCCTATTGAGTGTCATATTTTCATTTACTTCTAGTAAATTAAGATCATTTTTTATTCAATATACCCAAGTCTTTCCAGTACCTATGTCTTTCTTAACATAAGTTGAATCTAAAATATCTACTCTCCTAATCGGATCATCAAATAGTCGACGTTTAATGTGACCAAACCAACTAGAATGACACTCTAATTTTGTCCTCCACTGGAGCTACACAAACCCTATCATGTATATATTCATTTCGCATTTTGTCTCTAAGTGTAAAGTCAATCATCCACCTAAGCATTCTCATCTCGACAACACTTAACTCAGTTTTATGCTTTTCTTTTAAAGGCCAACATTCAGCGCCATTAAACATTGCAGGTCTCACCACCATCTTATAAAATTTTTCTTTCAGTCTAAGCGGTATTTTTTTTATCACACAATAGGCCCGAAGCATTCCTCCACTTCAACCAATCAACTTCAATTCTACTAATAACATCCCCATCTATATCACCATCACATTGAACAATAGACCTGAGGTATCTAAAGCATTCACACTTTTAATAATTTGATCACCCATGGTTACAACTCCGTCACTAAAGTTATTACTACTACAATTTTATTCCATGTATTCAGTTTTAGTTCTACTCAAACAAAGGCCTTTAGACTCCAATGTAGAGGTCCATAATTCAAGTTTTTCTTGAGCTTTTTCTCTAATCTTATCCACGAGAAGAATATCATCAGTGAAAAGCATACACCAAGGTACATCCTCCTATAAATGTGTAAGAGCATCCATAACTAAAGCAAAAAGATAAGGGCTTAAAGTCGATCCCTGATGTAATTCAACTAAAATAGGAAAATATTTACTCGATCCACCTGTTCGAACACAAGTAACAGCTCTGATGTACATATCTTTAATTATTAGAATATAAGTCATATCAACACATTTCTTCTTCAGTCCAAATGGTATCTCTTGGAACCTTATCGTAAGATTTTTCTAAATCAATAAGAATAAAATGTAAATTTTCCTTATTATCTCTGAACTTCTCAATCAAACCTCTCAATAAATGTATAGTTTCTATAGTAGACCTGCCCCACATAAATATAAATTGATTATGAGAAATCTTTGTAATACATCTTAACCTATGTTCAATTATCCTCTCCCATAATTTTAAAATACAACACATCAACATAGTTCCTCTATACCCCTTTATTTTTAAAAATGGGATCAAAATACTCTTCATCTACTCAGACATCTTTTTAGTTTTTAAAATAATATTAAAAGTTTAGTAAGCCAAGAAGCTCTCAAATTTCCTATATATTTCCACATTTCAATTGGGATGTCATCAGGTCCTACAAACTTTCCACCCCTGAAATTTTTCAATTCTTCAACCATTTTCTTTTAGCAAGTTCCACGTTAGCCAGATTAGTCAACATTTATATGTTTCGATGCAACAACAAGATTTTCTTTTTAACAAGTAGTTTTGTTGGTTGGTTAATAGGTCACATTTTCTTCATGAAATGGGTTTATTCTGGATACGGCAAAATCGTTCGATTCGATCTAATAAGTCTCTTGTGTCAGAATTGAGAAATTCTATGGCTCGAATCTTTAGTATCCTCTTCTTTCTTACCTGTGTTTACTATTTAGGCAAAATGCCGTCGCCTATTGTCACTAAGAAACTGAAAGATAAAGAAACCTCAGAAATGGAAGAAGGGGGAAAAAGAAAAGAAGAAAATGATGTAGAAACAACTTATGAAATGAAGGAGACTGAACAAGAGGAATCCACCGAAGAAAAACCTTCCTTTTGTTCGGAAGAAAAGGAGGATCTGGACAAAATAGATGAAACGGAAGAGATCCAAGTGAATGGAAAGAAAAAAACAAAGGATGAATTTCACTTTCAAGAGGCACACTATCAAGATAGCCCGGTTTACGAAGATTTTGATCTGGAAACCCATCAAGAGAATTGGGAATTGGGAAGACTGAAAGAAGAGAAAAATAAAAGATTGTGGGTTGAAAAAATTTTTGTCACTTTTTTTTTTGATTATAAGCGATGGAATCGTCCATTACGATATAGAAAAAATGAGAAATTCGAAAATGCTTGACGCAATGAAATGTCACAATTTTTTTTTGACATGTACAAGTGATGGGAAACAAAGAATATCCTTGACATATCCGCCCAGTTTCTCAACTTTTTCGGAAATGATAGAACGAAGAAGTTCTTTGTACATAATAGAAAAACTATATGACGAAGATCTTTATAATTCTTGGATTTATGCTAATGAAAAAAAAAAGTACAATTTGAACAATGAATTGAGAAGCCGAATCCAAATTCTAGAACAAAATGAGAGATCCTCTAGTCTGGATATGCTTGAAAAAAAAACCATATTATGTGATGATGAAAAAAAAAAGAAATGCTTGCCAAAAGCTTATGATCCGTTTTTCAACGGACCATATCGAGGAACGAGAAAAGAATTAGATTCACGTGCAATCATGAATACTTATACAGATACAGAAGATTTAGTAGAATTTTTTTTTATAAATAAGATTCATGATTTACTTCTTAATAATTCCGTAAAACTTCATCGTCAATCATTTTTAAATTCTACAGAAGAAAAAAGACTTGATTCAGAAAGTGAAGAAAGATATTTTCAATTTTTATTTGATGTAATTACAACACATACAAAAGATCAAAAAATAATAAAAAAGAAATCTATTGGAATTAGAAAAGAAGAGAATTTGGGAGAAGAGGAAGAAGGAAATGAAGAAGATTTGGAGGAAGAATATTAGGAGATTCATTCAAGAAGAGCCAAACGTGTGAGAATTTCGAACGAGAATGATCAGAATACCAATTCTCTTTCTAGTATTCAGAAGACTAGTAACAATGAGAAAAAGGATGATCAAACGGAAGAGGAAGAGGTGGCTTTGATCTTACTCTAAATCATAATATCAACTAATTTCATTAATTTTCTGTGAAAGTACTTATATTCTAAGATCATGTTCTAATATTAGTTTCATTGACTAACTTATTTATCTGCATTCATCCGTAATGTGAGAACCCTTGTTGCAGAAAAAATTTTCAGAGGACTCCTGCAAGAAAATCTACAGAGAAGGCATGCTATAGAAAAAGTTCCGGAGAAGTGTCTGATGCAGGAAAAGCTCCGCAGGAAAGTTTACAGCAGAAAAAAAGTTCCAGAAGAGGCCTGCTACAGGAAAAGCTCCGGAAACAATCCGATCTTCAATATCTAATTCAATGCTGTTAAGAGGGCTCTGAAAGCTAGAATTCAGTCTTTGGCATGGAAGATTGCTGAGCCGCCTATCTCATATGTATATAGCACCATCCAATCAAGATGCAAGCAACCTTGTCTTGTCAGCTGAAGTAAAGGCAATATTTGATAAGCCATTAAAAGCTTCAGAGAAAATTTCAGTTTCCCTTTCTCTAAGACTTCAAGGGGGATCCATACATACATAACCAATGTCATAGAAATGAGTCATATTATGGCTTCTAGATACACGACAAACATGATCTTGATTTACAGGATTCCAACGAATGGCATCTAATGGCCTAGAAGTATAAATGTGAAGCACACATTTTGTTTCATCTTTACACAAACTTGAATATGGGTCATAAACTGAGCAATACAAGGTTTCAGAGTCCAACACAGTTAAACATCCAGATTTGGTAACACACGCCACAAAGATGCCGTTGGAATGAAATTCTAGACCCAAATTTCCCTCCCTTATAAAAGGGTTTGAACTATTCTGATTTGCAGCACTAATAACTCGTGCAGCATCCATCAAAAAGTCAGGGCAAGGACGGTGATTATGCCCAAAAGACCTAACTTTGGAATAAAAATCAAGGAGCAGTTGGCAAGAATCACGCCAGAAGTTGGAAAAAATTCTACCATCCAGTTCAAAGGTACTTCTCTTCCATCCAAACCATCAAAAAAGACTAGAGTTTTCTCAAGAAGCTGCAGGGATGGTGAATCGCTGCATCAGCGGATAACTTGTGGTAGAGCGCCAAAGCCAGGATAATTTTGCTGAAAAAAATCGTAAGAGAAAAACGCCAAAACCAGGATAATTTTGCTGAAAAAAATCGTAAGAGAAAAACACAAGATGGCAAAGGTGAGGAACAAGGAGTATTTTCTTTACTTCTCAGAAAAGAAGATAACCTAATTAGGCCTGCTGGTTTCTGGTGAAAATACTCCTAATCATATGGGATAACAGCAAAAGAAGAAGGCCATGCTCCAAAGGGGCTGCGAGGATCTACTCCAGCAGCGAGGGCCTACAAACAACCTAGAGGAAGCTAAAAGATCTCTCCCTTCCAACAAGGAGGATGGCAGGGAGTCAGATGGCTCTGAAAAGAGATCTGGCAGCTAGGACAGGGAATTTGGCTCTGATATCATGTTTAAATTCAGAATAATGTGAAATAATATTATTGATATGAAACGGGAGTATAAATAACCCTCACATGAATCCTAAAATAGAAAAAATAATAAAATAGAAATAACAGGAAAGAAAAGATATAAAACCTATATCTCTAATTAATCAATTCATATTAATTACTTAGAGATAAAAGAAACAACATAAAAGCATAAAATAGAAAAGAAAATAACTCCAATCCAAGGAAAAAAATTTAATCCTCATAACTTCTAACAAGAATAAACTATTTTCTAATATAACTTTAAAACTATTTAATGACGATAATTAGTTTAATGAGAAGTGCCTTTTGTCGGCACATTCAGAATTCTTTCTTTTTCTTACAAAAGAACCACAAAAGGTGAAAAAAAAACATAAACACAACTTATAAGATGAATTAATAACTTTAAAAAGACCACTTTTCAATAAAAATAACAAATGGCACAAGCTTTTACTTGGATATAAAGGAAATAACAAATGGCACAACTAATTCATATTAATTAGTTGGAGATAAACGAACAACATAAAGCATAAAATAGAAAAAAAAATTTCAATTCAAGGAAATAAATTTAATCCTCATAACTTCTAACAAGAATAAACCATTTCCTAATATAATTTTTAACAATATTTAATGACAATAATTAGCTTAATGAGAAGCGCCTTTTGTCAGCACATTCAAGATTCTTTCTTTTTCTTACTGAGGAACATCAAAAGGTGAAAACAGAACACAAACACAACTACGATGAATTAATAACTTTAAAAGGAATACTTTTCAATGAAAACAACAAATGGCACAAGTTTTTAAGGAAATGTAATTCATTGGACAGTCAATCACCTTTGATGAAGCGTTTTTTCCATGGGTCATTCTTTCAAGGTCACCAAAAATACGTCTTGAAATCTCAGCATGTCTATTTGGTCGATGATGACCACCATCTTCAAAGCACGGGATCTGACCAGTGTTGATCCACTGCAGGATGCATGGGCAAGAGCAAATTTTTTATTATTAAATAGACACTAAAAATTAAATTTCATCAGAATTAAGTAAGAGAAAGTATTCCCTTGGCTCTGTTAATATTTTGTTAATTTCTGCCAGAGAAAAGCAATAACAAGAAAAAATTAGAGGAAAAAACAACCAATCAAATTTTCCTAACGGCACACTCTTCAATACGGCAGTTCAGTTAGAAAATAAGCTATCAAAACCGAAATTTTTCACCATTGTAGCTGGACCCAGTCTTAAACATGTTTAGTAAATTACTCAATCTAAATAATATGCCAAGGAAAAACCTTCAGATAAACAGCAGAATAAACGAGTGCTTCGAGACGATCCTCAAACTCAAGATTTCTTGTCAGGAGAGTATGAACAACTTCAAGCTGCAAAAAGGGTCAAAAAAGTAGTAAATTTGATTTAAAGGCATAAATTTGTTCAAATTGGTTCCATCATAAAGCGCCCTGTTTAAGACATGCAGATTCTTAATTAAAAAAAAAAGAAGGAAATTACTTGGTTAGATTAATTCTCTACCAACATAACCCATTAAAAAAGCTACAGTAAACAATTAATCCCAATTATGCCAACCAGCCAAGCCACAAGAAAATTCAAGTGAATAAGCAACAAAGTTGAGCTGAGGCAAAGGTTAACGATGATGATTTTTATCATATCAAAATTACCAACTGTGCTAACTATTTATAACAAAATTTGGAACTATTACTTATTATTATATTTTCCTATTATTGAGGATATTCCCATTAATGTATTTTTTTTTATTATCCTTCTCTTACCCATATATAGGATCAAATATACTTGTTCTATGTGACAATTTAACAAAAACTTCATTTCAAATTCTAGCTTTGTATCAGATTAAGCCATGTTATTCTTATCTGTGTTGCAGCCAATTATCTATCTTTGCTTCAGCTATACTATAAAACTGTCATACGCTCCTCGCTCTCCTCCTATCTGTTGTGTAGCACTCACAAGACCTTTGTCTTCTCCATCCAGCATGTAGCCCTTGATCCAGCATTTCTCCTTTATAACGGGTGAGATTGTAGAAGAAGATGTGTCAGGCAAAGCTACTCCTCAACTACTAGCATGAAGTATTAGTCAGCTTCTCAATTGATGAGCGCTATAAGCAACTTAAATTTGATGATAAGGTCCTCAAATTTGTCAATAATATGCCGCAAAATATTCTTCTTTTGCAACCAAGAAGCTATCTTCCTCTAATCTCAACCCACCGTCCACTTGCTACAAAATCTCCAAACAGAAATCCGCCATCCAACTTAGAGACCTCTTCAATGCCAACCAAGCTACACATCATCATCAAACACTGAGGCAGTTAGCCACCATTTGTTTCTAGCAATTTGTACACCTTTGCCATCTACCTATGTTCTCCTGTCATTATTGCACCAGAACTATTTATCCTTTCAGTTCTTCAACTCCATCAACATTGTTTATCATTAAACTGTCAGGACCTGGCCTGGGGCTTAAAATTAACCAAGGCGAGTACAAACAGTTGAAATGTGGGAATTTAAATTTTAGTATTTATTTTCTATAATTATTTATTAATAAATTAAAGAGCCACTAATTAAATGAAATTAAAGTAGTATAATTAAATTTTACCCCCATTACAAGTTATTCATGTCTTCTATAAATATTATCTCTTCTATTACTTATCTTTTAATAAATTAATTGCACATGAAAAATTAATTTAAAACAAAGATGAACTTATCAAAGCCCATGAACACTCCTAAACTATAGTAATATAAGAGAGAAAAAATAATATGCATGCAAGCTAAGCTTTTAGTGAATCAATATAAACATTTGAGATGATAATCAATGAATCTTATAATATCAATAGCATATAAATATCATTTTACATCTGTAAAACCGTCACAGGAGCACTGTTTAAAATTTGAACTAGTTTAGCTACTTTATGATACCGGAATTAACTCATATCACAATAGATATATAAATATTAGGGAAAATTACATACATAGCACCCAATTCTTATGGATTTACCAATCTCACACCTAAACTTTCATTTTTACACAAGCAGCACTTTACCTATGATTGAAAAGATGGATTTGGCTATTAAAAAGAGAGAATGAATGTTACGTTTCATTGTAATTATGAAAGCTTAGGTGTCAGATAGGTAAATATGAATGTTTTGGGTGCTCAGTACATAAAAGCCCCTAAATATTATTGCTGAAATTTAAGGGATTACATACAACGACACTTGCAATAAGATAACATGACACAAACACAAAGCTAGGGCGTGGATCAGGGGGGTGGTGTTGCGGTTGTATGTGGATTGGAGGGTGTTGGCAGCAGGAAGGTTTAAGAGGGGTTGTACGAGTTGGGCTGCTATGTAGAAGGAAAAGATGCGAAGAGCTGCAGTTGGGTTGCCTGGGGCTGGACTGTAGTGGGGCAAGGAAAGAGGGAAGGGTGGTTGTTGGGTTGTAGGGGTTGGGCCATAGTGGGGAAGGAAATGGAAGGCCGGTTGTTGGACTGCACGAGTTGGACGGTAGGGGATGTTGGCGACATTCTTGAAGTTGGTTACAGGAGTTGGGGAAATGCTGGGAGAGTAAGGCAATGAGGGTTGGACGGTAGGGGATGTTGGCGACATTCTTGAAGGGAGGGAAGTGTGGTTACAGGAGTTGGGGAAAAGCTGGGAGAGTAAGGCAATGAGAAAATGACTGGGACGGGAGCTACGATAGAGGGAAGAGTCCTTGGGTGGGGTTTGCGGCTGGGCTAGTAGAGGAGCAACGGCTTGTTGGG